ATACTGTCTGGTCTTTTCACACTTTTTTCTCCTCACAGCACATAAGTAGCTAGAGCACTGAGCAATAATTGATTATTTTCTCTTTTTTTTTTTTCGAAGGGAAAGAATTGCTGAAGACTCAGCTACCAGTGCTGCCAAGTCAAATGGCAGAGTTTGTTTTTGGACAAGTGCAAAAAGAGAGAGAGGGTGTGAGAGAGAAAATAAAAGACAGGAAAAGAGAAACTCTCTCCATGATCTTATTAAACAGACACAGATGGTCACTGCGGGCAGACAGCGGGTTCAAGACATAGAGACTGACAGGATGGAGATGACTGTAAAGAGAGATTAGACAGAGAGATGAAGAGATTTGTCTAGCAAGCCAGGAAGGAGAGGAAAACCAAACGGCATTGATGTGCTACCAAACTTCTCTTGGCAGTAATTCACAGACTCCTGGACTAAAAGAAAAGACAAGACAAGGAAAGTATGTAAAATTAGTATGCAAGATAGCAACAAAAAAACCTTGGTCCAGAAAGGGCTTCATAAGCATATGCTGCAAACGGTCTGCTCTGTTCTGCATGATCTGCTAACATCTACAACTACTCACAAATCAAATATTTCTCAATCAGCCGAAGATGGATATCATAACTCGTAGATGCTTTTTTTTTTTTTTTGCATCTGATGGAATGTATCCAAATACATGGAGAAAAAAATGAAAAAGTTACACAATATTATTTAGAAGAATGTCAAACAACATTAAAATGTCTAAATATTTCCAGTAACTCACTCTCTTTGATCTATAGGATTGAGCGTCACCCGGAACTGAATTGAAAATGTCTTTTAAACTGCAATTAAATTAGAAGCAGAATTTTAATTCACATGTTAATTTAGGAAATACAATTAAAATTTTATATAAATAAATGCCCAAAAAAGTAATATTATTTCACATAAAAGTGTAGTTTTTAATGGAGTAATTCATATTTAATAGTTCATTACATACTATAAAATTAAAATATTACAATTTTGATAGATGAAGTTATAAACGTGATATTTTTGTCGATAATAAATTTTTTATTCAAATTCACGCACAAGAATGGAAAAGTGCCATTTTTAAATTCTGAATTTCGGCCAGCACTGCTGTGAAAAACATGTTCTGCTGAAAGATTACTGGAAACTAAAAAAAACTGCATGCCATGTAGTGTGTTTTGAGTTATTCCAAGCTAATCCACAAAATCTCGGTGTAAGAGGCAGTCAAGAGTGAGAACAAAGTGCAGAGACAAAGACGGCAAGAAACAGAAAACAAGCTCTAATTAATGACCAATAAAGAGCAAGTGTCATCCACAGGATGTTGGTTTGAAGTGGTCAGCTGTGCTCGACTGCTGTTTTTCCATCTCTGTTTGGATACTCTGAGCTGATTTTGGCTCACACTGCCCACCAACTGCACCTGTGCCCATCTGCACTTTTCCCATAATGCCTCTGACCACTCTAAAAGAGACTAAATCACTTCCAGCTGTGGTGCATGTGTTTGCAGCCAGCTATTATTTATTTTGCCATCCTCTCTCCATCCATCCCTCTGTTCTACCTCAGAACTTTCCATAAACAACAATGAAGACAAGCGAGTGAATGCTGGAGGGCTGAATGAAAGAGAAACAAAGAAATGAAGGTGTAAGAGTGCTAATGTCATGTGCCGTATGTTGCACCAGCTGAACTGGAAAAAGAAATCTGCTAACGTGAATGAACAAGAAGTCAACTGCTTCATACTCACACGTGTCAATGAAATAGCATGTTTCTTTTTCCTCCTCTCATTTGGGAACATTACATGGGAATGAACATTCTCTTCTTTTGTGTTTCCCTCCCTCCTTGGGTCTTTTTCTCTATTTATTCTCTCCAAACCGCTAATGAAATTTTGGAATGCGATGCTTGGGTGAAGGGTAGATGTTCCAGCAGCAGACTGGGTTCTCCAAACTTTGTTGTTTGCAAAGGGGTTTCTGTGTTTAATCAGCCCATGAGACTCTGGCCCCGGTTTCACGTGGTATTAAGATCCGTCTCGGGAGATCAGATCACAAAAAGAAGGAAAATATCACCACTCCTTCTCCCAAATATACCTTTTAGGTTTATTTTATATGTAAATCTTAACACTTGTATTTGGCATCATCCTGTTTTAAAATGACTTCCAAAACGGATGTTAATACCAAATGTAAACAGAGCCTCTCACATGTCATAAAACACACAAAAGAGTCCATCTGCGTAGATCGCACACCTACCGCCCTGTGAAATCGCCATTACCAGTGAGAAAGCGCTGTGGAAATATGCTTTTGTTTAGCACAATGGATGCTAAAGGGTGTTCACACTTCAACAAATGGAACATTCTCACACACTTTAGCCATCCTTCATCCCACATACACACACACATACAGGCCTTAATGTCTGTGCTCTCTCACACTCTGTCCATCAAATGAACGGCAAAGAAGCACAGGATGATCCAATTCTCTTTCCTGGCACGCTCTCGCTCTCGTCCTCGCCGTCCCATCCTTTAATCCCTCTATCTATCACATCCCAGTCGTTCTTTCATCTCTCTATTTCTCACATGGAATGTGCTTAAGGTTAAGGGAAACTCCTCATTTTTGGCACCAGCACAGAAGCGAGGCAGATGGGTCAGACACCCATCTCCTAATCTGAGCGTGCCATGGCCGCTGCAGCAGCTGGCATCACTATAAAGCTCCCATGTGTGGGTACATACCGTGGCACACGGAGCCAGAGCACATCTGCACAGGAGGGCAACATGACGACATGACATGGCAGTGTAAAAAATGAAGACAATAAAACAACACACGCAATATCGAAATAAACGGCCGGCGATTACAAGGCCGGCAGGGGGTCGGCTCAGAGCACAGAGCGCTGGCTGGATGTGAAGTGCGATAGATGGAGTGCATTCGTGCTCTTCTGGTGCTGGTTTGATCGTGGTCCATTTTGGGATTACCGCACTGGAAGCGTGACAAAGATCTGCACAGCACTAGGAGGCTGAAAATAGATGGTTTAAAAAAACGTTTAAATAGTATTCCCAAACCCCCTCTAACATCAGGCTTAGGTAGTGTTGAGCAAGTTAGTAAAACTAAAAGAAAAATAGTTTTCAGTAATTCAGCTGCAATAAAATAAAATATAAAAAATTTGATGAAAAACTTGGTCACACTTCCAATTTCAATTCCAATTCTCACTATTAACATCTAACTACAATTAACTACAACTTTTGCCTCAGTAAACTCCTAAATCACTGCTTATTAATAGTTAGTAAGGTAGTTGTTAAGTTTAGGTATTGGGTAGGATTAGGGATGTAGAATATGGTCATGCAGAATATGTGCTTTATAAGTACTAATAAACAGACAATATGTTATTAATATTACAAGGCATGCTAATAAGCAACTAGTTAGTGAGAATTGTTCCCTATACAAACGTTTTACCAAAAACATAAACTAAACTAAACCTAAAAAAAACAAAAAAACTTTATAAAATATAATGTTGAATTATACAGAATTAAATAAAAAATATATTAATATTTTAATAACACAAAAACTAATAAAAATTACAAAAAAACTGTAATTTACTAAATTATTAAAACAAACTAAAACTTACATTGAAAATATAAAATAAAAGCTAATTCGAAATATCATTAAATACTATAAAGGTTTTAAAATAATCTCATTGCGGCCTTATGTCTCACTTGGGACAAAGAGGATTAAGTAAGTAATATAAATAATACTAAAATAACACACAAGAAAAGATAGCTAGCTAAACTACTGCTAAAAAAATGTACTATGCTGAGAAAGTAGCTAGTTGCACTATATACTTATATTCATATTTAAAATATGAAATAAAATAAAATAAAATTTTATTTTTACTTTTCTCCTAGTGTAATCCACAGATTTATGGAGAGAGGACAAGAACTGATGTGGAGAAGATGAGAGAAGGTTCTACTCTAGGAGAGGCATTTACTTAACATTAACTTAACATTTACTGTAAAGGGATGTTAAACTTGGTTTGCTGTTGGCGATGCTCACAGTGTAGGCAAAGCACACCAGACTAGTGAGCAAAACAGAAATCTGTATTTCATTCCAAGTGCTAAATCGAACAGCACAGACTCTCATTTCCAACCTTTCTGCATGAAGCAGGGACTAAATCTTCTGTAGCCTTTAAGCTAGTATATAAATCAATCAGCATCACTGCTTTCATAGACCATTTTCATTACTGTATTTCTGTCAAACACGCTCACAAACACACCCTCCCTGTAAATCTCCAAGGCAATTAGCGTGACTGGTCCCAGCCAGGATAGAGAGGTGTAATCAAGTACACAAATCAACTGACCACACATGATCGGGTACGAACGTGTTAGCCAGCAGAATGCACGACAGCGTGAAATTCAATCTACCTTTCCATGCAAAATAACTGAAAAAACTCCCCTCCTCCCATCTCCAGCAGGCTCTGCTGTCAAAACGCTTAACTTTGATTGACAGCCGGAGTCGAGCAAGTCAGCCAGTCAGCCGTGGCGTGAGAGCACAGTGGGCGGGAGTGTGAAGTTTAACCCCAGGAGTCTGGGACAGCTGCAGTGTCGCTGTGGTCTGTGGCTGTTGCACACCATAAATTCTCTCTAAAGAGGGTTTACTTTTTATTTTAATGGGGGCTGTAAATTTACGACCCTTGGACCCTGGAGATAGAGCTGTTTTTAAAGGAGCACTCCCTGTCTTTTTTGTCTCTCTCTCTCTCATACCTGTTTCTTTAGAAATTGGCTGGCTTACACAACAAAGTTGTACCTGGCCGTACGCTGGCGTAATATCTGGGAGGCCCTAAAAGGAAAAATGTTCACATGGACTATGTTAATAGTGTGTGAATAAATGAGGAGTGTGTTTGTGAACACATTATGTCCGATGTGACATAATATTGTGTGTGCGGGAGTGAGAATGACTACACTTGTGTATTTTATGCATTCAGAATGACAAACTGACCCTCTCTCTCTCTCTCTATGTCTGCAGGTGTTGTTTGCTCTAAACCAGACTCTACTGCAGCATGAGAGTTTGCGTGCAGGCATTCTGCAGGGCGCCTTCACTACTGAGGACCTCATCACACACTACAACTGTGGAGACCTTAACTCCATCATCTTCAATCATGACACATCCCAGGTATGCGCACCAAAAACACAGCCTGGTCCTGTTTTATGCATCATGTGAGTATGTATGTGATGTATTGGAGTCATTATGAGCTTAAAGTTTGAGCAGCAGCAGGTTCCTTCTGATGGATGGCCTATAATTCTCCACTTCACCCTGCAACACACTGAAAGATTAAAGCAACGGCACACACACATAGTGAGAGAGAGAACGAACATTTCAGGAAAAATGTGAGGGAGCAGTAAGACGAGGAAGGGAGGAAATATCTTTCTGTTGTTCCATATTTCCTGCAAAGGTCAGACGCAGGGCAGCTAATGGCTCTGCTGCCTGATAAGGTATCTGTGCTCTCTCTTTTATCGCTTTATGCCTCTCTTCCTCATTCTCTCTCTATTCTGCTCCTGTACTCCATGCGGAAATTATGTAGTACTTGACTTGAGTGTGTCAAGTCTTCTGCTCAAGTCTCTTCAAGGGATAGTTCACAAGAAGAGGAAAATTCTGTCATTAATTACTCACCCTCATGTCGTTACAAAGCTGTAAGACCTTCGTTCATTTTCAGAACACAAATTGAGATATTTTTTTATGAAATCCGAGAGCTTTCTGATCCTGCACAGACAGCAACAGAACTACCAATGTTATAAACACGCGTCAAAGACTGACACAAAAAAGAACAAATTGTTGAATAAAGTCGTTATTTTTGTTTTCTTTGTGCAAGTATTCTTGTAGCTTGATTAAATTAAGGTTGAACCACTGATGTCACATGGACTATTTTAACGATGTCCTTACTACCTTTCTGGGCCTTGAACATGGTAGTTGCATTGCTGTCTATGGAGGGTCAGAAAGCTCTCGGATTTCATCAAAAATATCTTAATTTGTGTTCCGAAGATGAACAAAGGTCTCACGGGTTTGGAACGACATGAAGGTGAGTAATTAATGACAGAATTTTCTCTTAGTTAAAAAAAAAAAAAAAAAGGTATATTAGGCCCTACTATATAAATATTGCATACTCTCTATCTACAACATTTCATAATTTAAGATTATTACATTATATAACCATCCATACTTCCATACTCCAGCTTTCTGCTCCACTGCACTTCAGTTCTTTAGTGCACAGGCAGGAATCTCTCAGATAAACACACGTGTATAGCCATATTTACCCCCTCTGCCTCTCCATTTCCAAACTGTTCTCTCATTAGCAGGGCGTATGGATAAATACACACACACACATATTATTTAGACGTTCCAGAGCTCTGGATTCTAACAAGAGGCCACCTCACAGTTTCCCTTTTAAGTCTCTCTCGCTTCCTCCGTCCCTGTACCATTATCCATTATCTCCCCCCCTCACCATCTCTGGTGTATGTATAGCCAGTCAAGACATGGGAAGCGCTGTGTTTCCGACCATCAATTAGAGCAAAAGGTCCAGAATTGAGCTCCATAACCATATATAATCCCTAATGTCTTGCTCTCTTTCAAAGATCTATACACACTTTTCCAATTCCAAAGATGGATTCCAAACATATGGAAGCCCAAGTAAAAAAAAGAAAAAAAGGTAATTGGGCCTATATATATATCAAAATTGCAATTTACGCATGACATTTTTTACTTTTGACTTATAATTGCACCTATTTATCTTTTGTACTGCAACTTCTTATAATTAAGACTTCAATTCTTGTAATTGCAACATTGTATATCACAATTTTATATCATATGATATATAAAATTAGAATATTTATTTTATCTTTTTTTTTTTTTTACTTTGGGGTGGCAATGGGCTGCCATGAACTTTTTTTTATTATTATTATTATTATTTTACAATGACAAACCTTAAAATTGAGATGAAAGTTTCGAATCTAGACAAGTTTCCACAATTTTCCTAACAATGTCACAATGCACTTGCTGTAAAAGCACTGAAAACCCAACAAAGTCAAATTCTACACTGAAAACTCTACTTTGCAGTGCTATGGAGATCAAAAATCTCAAATAATTAGAAAATTGAGACTATAAACAGCATTGCAGACGAAGAAGCTTTTTTAAACAACATATTATTTTAATTTACTGTAGTAGCAGTAAATGTTTTAATGATAGTAATGTTATAGTGTTATATTAAATCTAAAAGAGGAAATCAATTATACTTTATTTTATTACAACTGTGGCCAAGATGTCAAGAAAGACTCTAACGTAAATTGAACACCACTGGTTATATATTTATTAATTAAAAAAAAAAAACCTCAATCATCTCATTCAGAAGTACGTCGCCACATCACATCAAACCATTTCACTGGGAATTTAAGATACTGTTTTCATTGTCTTTCCCTAAACTTCACTTTTTTTCTCTTCTAGTCCTTATTTCCCTTTTTCTACTTCGATCTTTTATGTCCATGCCTCAGTATTCATAGCAGACTGTGTAGGCAGACCGGCCAGCTGTAGAAAGCTTCCCATACACTTTACCCTGCAGCAAATCAATCAGTTCATGTGGAGTCCAAGACAGAAAAACAGTATTTGTGTGTGTGGCTGTCACGTTCCACAAAGTGGCATAAATGTCTCAGCTGCCCAGTTTCTCACTCATACACAGACTCAGATTCATTCCAGGCCTTTAGTAATACTTCTCTCTCTCTCTTATTCTGTCTCAGCTTCCGCATTTCATCAACAGTTCCTTGCCAGCTCACGAGCACTTGACAGCACAGCAGATTGACAGTTACCTGCGACAGGAGCTCATTTACAAACGCAATGAGCGAATGGCCCACCGCGTCTCTGCCCTCCTTCAGAGAAACCCCACCCAGAGCTTCTTCTTTGCTTTCGGAGCTGGTGAGTCACACAAAACCTATAACCATCACACACTTACACACTCGTAACAACATGAAGATGAGGTCAGTTGACACTGACTAGGAATAGGTCCAGCTCCACATACAAAACAAACGCACACACAAACTCCCCCAGATGGCAGTAAAACTAAATGGTCCTAAGAACTTTTCCCACGACTGAGAGCACATCACTTTCATTACTGTTCTGTGTGCACCTGTGTGTGTGCGTGTGTTTCTTTGTCTGTGTGACAAATTTATTCCTAACAAAAAGCATTATTTTCATGAAATCATGAATAAGGAAATTATGAATCATCAGGTAGCAATTACATTTATTTCGTGTTTTTTATGGTTGCACATGTACGTACAAACTCCCGTTCAGTAACTAGATCAGTCCTATAATATTCAATAACATATAATATACAATAACAAGTTAAATAAATATATGCTTTAGAATAATCTGGATTCATTAGAATGAGAATAGAAATGTATGTGTGTACGCACCTGTTCTGAATCTAAAGCCTTTTGTACATGCATAACTAAGAACAATTGAACACATTTAATAGTGAATGAGACCCAGTTAGAGGACTGACAGCTACTTTCATCTGTGAGAGTGTGAGCTGTTTGTTTTAATTTGCATTCCAAGCTAATGCTGCTAATGTTTCCTGAGTGGTCCTGAGGGATAGCTGTGGTTTGCGTTTGAGCGCATGGTTATGTTTGTGTGTCGTTCATTAGCACTGATGGGGTGAATATGAGGTTTTCTACAGGACAAGTGTGTGTGTGAGAACCTGTGTCGATTTATGTGTTAATGGAGTAGAATTTAACATGATTCCACCCTTTCCAGTTTTTTTTTTTACAGTGAGTTCAAAATCATAAAAAGATAATGACTTTTACAAATATATCTTGTCAATGCTCCATGTCCCAAAATACACATTAATAGTTGAGCGTCTGAGGTTTTAGTTGGTCTGTCTTTGCCTGGTGTGCTAGGCCTCTCTCTGCTTAGAGCTCTTGTTTGAGTTGCTCACAGTTTCACTTGGACCAATTCATCCAGAACCTAGTCAGAACTACTGACAGAAAGCAAAATTAGCAGCTGTAAACCTGGGCTCGGAAGGTTCTACAGTTACCAGAGTGCTCTATGAGTCTTTGCAGGGGTGATTAAAGTACACGCTGTGCTGGTAAAGTGGTTTCAACAGGCCATCCATCTTTGCTCCACAGCAATAGCATGTTTTGATTCCACAGGACGCCCCATGGCACAGGCTACAAGACCCTTTTGGGAAATCATACACACGTGCACTCGCACATACCGTCAACCCTAACTCTCATAATGCATAATGCATAGCTGGAAAGAAAGCAAAAATGCCTAGCTATTAAGGGGTTAGTTTACCCAAAGAAAAAAATTAATTCTGTCATCATGTATGTCATTTATGTCATCATGTTGTACCAAACCCGTATGACTTTCTTCTGTGGCACACAAAAGGAGAAACTTTTTTTTCCCACAATGCAGTTACAAAGAATGGACTGGTGTAAAAAAGGCACTTTTTTGTAAAAACATTTCTAAAAGTTTCCATACATTTTCCAGAGAGTTCATCTGAAAAATCGATCATAGCTCTACTTGGCACATTTACTTTCATTAATGAATCATTCGTTTGAATTTGACACACAGTTTACAAAAAAACTAAATGATTTGATGTTTTTGAGTTCAACTCATTGAATCAGTCACAGTGATCACCAGCTCACTAACCAATGGCTTAGGTGTGAAAAACAACTTTAATGATACTTCTATAGTGCATTTGTGTCCTTTTTAATACTTAAAAGCTTCAGTAACTATTGTAACTGCACGAAAACGTTGCTTTGTAATATGGTAGGGACAGATCTTTTTTTTTACATTGTGACATGCATCCAAGTGAAAAACATTATTAGAAAAGTTTCTAAGAAATAATTAATTTAAATTTAGGGTGGGAACATGGTTCTATCCATCGATTATGAACTGGATGGAGGCAGATTTGAATGCAAGCTCAGGTATCAAAATTATTTTCCCAGAGTTTCCCAGTTGTAAATATGACTTGAGAAACAATTTCTTGTCCAATTTCCAACTGAGAAACACATATTTACGATAATTCTGATAGCACATGAATGAGACATAAGTCCAGCATATGTCGCCAGAGAAAAATATGTCATTGCATTGAAGACGCAGTTATGACGTTTAAATGAAACATATGTGCAATTTAAAAATAAAACACGCATGGATGCATCATTTACAATAAAATCAACAACATGCATAGAAAGTAGATAAGGTGCATTTCTATTTTATGCCCTTTTGGTTGAACTATTCTTTTAAATTGCTGTAGTAGAACTGCTACACTGCTAGCAGTTACTGCTCCCTGCTGGTTTGGAGTAGCACATATTCTAAAACCAAGACTTTGCTCAAGACAGTTTTGTGAAAATTCTGTTTTTCATAAGAAAAAGGGTTCTTATTCTCTTTCATCTGTTTTGCTTTGTTCTTTTGTGAGTGTGACCTTATGAGAGAGCCTGCAAAGTTACATAAGAGGTCAGATGATAAGCGGGAACACGCCACCATGGCACATCTGTTTATGGTACAGATCACACACACAAACTGCAGTATCAGTATTTCACATCCGCTAGAAATCTACTAATAAACTTCTGACAATCACATAAATCTTACATAAAAACAACCTATATGCCTTAGGTCAATGCTATATGATTCTAAACTTTTATGTACACTAATGCAAATCATTGTGCCTCTCAAACTTGTTCACTTGCATATAATTAGCTGTTTGCTGAGCAAGGAGAGAGTGTGTGTGGCGTTTCAGGAGGTTCTCATTTGTCTGGTTCCTCGGTGCTGCGTGGAGTTTTGTGCTCTTATTGAAAACATCCCTAGGAATTTCCTGCGATGGCCACAGCCCAGGCACCATTCTTGTTTTTAATGCACATTCTGCATGTGATAGGGAGCATTTGTCTTTTCATTAATAGCCTCGGGTTTGTTTTGCTATTGATTTGACATGCATATGACACTAATAAATGACAAAGCTAATATCACGGGCGCTAAAGCACTCAGTTCCAGTAAGCACACGGGCCACTGTTTATGTCTTACTGTGTTTGTATGAACGTGATCACTCATCCGTGTGTATGTGTGTGGTGAGGAACTCTCAGCCCATGTGTTCTGCAGTTGTTTGTGGTGGTCATTTTAGTGTCATTCCTATCAGAAGTGCTCAAAAATAATAGCTTCAAAGGAAATGTTCCTGGTGCCCAACCGGCATACACTTCACTCCCAAAGTTCTTTACGCTGCATTAGAAGCATCAATCACTGAAAGACGGTAACAGAAGCTCCTGTGGTGATGTTAAAATACCTCATACCATGTAAAATTTGCAGAGTGAATGAAATAAGACATTGGCTTGGTTTGCTATAGACAAAATGATGCATGTTTGGGAAGTCCAATTCATTTTAGTGAATAAGTTCATTCTGATGGTTTGTTTAAATGAAGACTTACTGTGGATTTATCTTAAATTGAGTAGCTTGTAGCTTGAATTCCAGCAATTCTGCATGGCACCACAATAACCATTGCAATTGGTCCTCTAATTGTTAAAGGGGTCATATGATGCTGCTAAAAAGAACATTATTTTGTATTTGGTGTAATGCAAGGTTTATGCGGTTTAAGTTTCAAAAAACACATTATTTTCCATATACTGTACATGATTGTTTCTCCTCTATGCCCCACCTTTCTGAAACGCGTCGATTTTTACAAAGCTCATCGGTCTGAAAAGCGAGGTGTACGCTGATTGGCCAGCTATCCAGTGCGTTATGATTGGCAGAATACCTCAAGCATGTGACAGAAATGTTACGCCCCTTACCATACTGTGTTTCCATGTGTCCCGGCGCGACAAGACAAAACCAATTAAACCCATTACAAACGAGGCATTTGTTGCATCCAGTGGGGACATAATTGCTGATTATAATGACTTATAATGTGTTTTTACGTGTTGCATTGCGTATTGCGCCACGTAAACATAAAACCATGTCTGCATTTGTGATCGGAGAAACGACAAACAACAAGCGCTACTCTACACTGCTCAAACTCACATTTGAATCATTAGTGGCAAATTCTTTAAATATAAAAAAACTTACTTACAGGCTGTGAGTCAGAAGCGCCAGACTGTCCTTGCAAAGTTGGAACTGACCCACTTTATAGAAACATTATGTCCCCTTTTGGAAGGCCAAACAAAGTAGTTTCGCTTTCACCATGAAACACGCAGCATCTTCATGACATGGCTGCAGCAACAATACTACAGCAAGAATAAAAGTTACGCATTCTTTCTTTGCGTGAACATTTTGCGTTATGCAAATCTTCCCACACAGTGACGTAGATATGTGATGGCATGTTTAAACGAGGCATTTTAGGAGGACGTGGACAAGTCTTAACTTTTATAAAGAATATATCTTTGGATTTGAGACTTTAGTCTTTGCAACTTTACAGATCTTCTTTATGCACCAAGAGCTTGTAACACTCCAAAGAGAAAGGAAAAATTGAAATCGCATCATATGACCCCTTTAAGAAATGTTATTTAATAGCAGGTGAATCTGCTACAATGCTGCACCTGGTTAAAATGGAAATCAGATTAACATTTGTCATGCTCAAATGATAAGCATGAAGTGTTTTATCTAAATGGCCATGTCATTAAATTACTACTCCAAATGGTTACACAATAAAAAAAGCTCAACTATTAAATGGCAATCAAATCTAATGGCTTTCGGGACGTTGGAGAAAACAGTCTGTTTATCTTGAGCTGCAGTGTTGTGTTGGTCTGCATCTCTTAGGACATTTGTGCAGATGCTAAAGTGACTCTCAGTGCTAATTAGATCTGCAGAGCTCATTATCAGACTCTGCCATTACACGCCTCGTTAGCTACTAAAACAACTGATCTGGGTGCTAATTAAATTTAAGCTCACATTACACACATAACACATCCTCTATCCCCACCCACACAGTT